ACCAATTCTACACAATTACTTCCAGAACATTTAAAGGAACACTTTCCATTTTATTTTATAAAATTAATATTTCTCTCATATAAAAATAAGAGAAAGACAGTATTAAAAGCAAAATAAAACTGTAGGCCAATATATTTCTTGATTATGGACACAAAATAATTAACAAAATATTAGCAAATTAAATTAACAATATATAAAATAATTTCATATCATAACCAGGTGGGGTTCATACCAGGTATGCAAGGCTGGTTCAATGTTTGGAAAACCAATCAATATAATTGTTTTACAATAAGCTTTCTGTTCTTTATACTGAGTTCCTTCTCAAGTCCTTGGAATTTCCAGAGTGATAGAAGTGTCTTTGTTATTCATTAACCCCTGAGGTCACTGTGTTATCGCTGTCATATGCTAATGAGGGGACTCTTGGTCAACCCCTTGATAGCTTCAGTGTGTGGGCTGGTCACCAGGTGACTGACTGCATGATTAGAGGGTTAAGACTCTGAACCAACCAGACCTCTGAGGAAGGAGGAAGGCTGGAGGTTAAGTTCAATCACATGGGCAATTATTTCATCAATCGTGCCTATGTAATGAAACCCCAATAAAAACTCTGTATGCTGAGGTTTCTAGTGGGTGAACACATCAGTGTGCTGGAAGGTGATGTGCTGTCATTTCACAGGAAGAGGGCAAGAAAGATCTGCATTTAGATCTTCCAGACCTCACCTTGTGTCTCTCCACTTAGCTGTCCCTGGGTTATATCCTTTCTAGTAAAAGTTAAATAGTTAAATACAGCACTTTCCGGAGTTCTACCAAAGTCATTCTACCAAATTATGGAACCTGAAGCAATCATGGCAACCTGGGAATCTATAGCCACTCAGCCAATGGGTGACCTGGGGACCTCCTGAAGTTGTGGCTGGCATCTAAAGGGAGGGCAGTATGGTTGTGGATTGTGTGAGGAACATGTGCAGGTCTTTGCTGAAAATTACCCAGCACCGAAGAAAGAAATCAAAATAGATCTATATAAATGGAAAGACATACTGCCTTTATGAATTGGAAGACACAACCTAGTAAAGATGTCAATTCTCACAAATTGATATAGAATTTTAACTCAATTTCTATCAAAATCCCAGCAAGGCAGTTTTGTAGATATAGACAAGATTGTTCTAAAGTTCTGAAAAAGAAGAATAAAGTGGGAGTAATCAGTCAACACAATCTCAAGATTGATTATAAGTTACATTTATTAAGACGGTGTAGAATTGGCACAGAGATAGACACATAGATCAATGGAAGAGAGAACCCAGAAACAGACCCACGCAAATATGTCCAACTGATTTTCGACGGTGTTGTTGTTTTAAGCCACAGAGTTTGTGGTAACTATTACAGCAGAAATGGAAAACTAATACAATTATCCTCACTAATTTTTAAGAGTGTAAACGAGTCCTGAGACCAAAAATTTGAAAACCGTTCTCCTGCGATCTTGGGCAAGTATTTCAAACTTTTTGCTTTCTACATTTGTAAAACGTCTAAAAAAAAAAAACTTATTAAAATAATGGGGCTGTTTTGAGTATCAAATAAAATCATTCATTTAAAGTGGGTAGCAAATTGCCTGACATTTGGTTAGTGCTAATATGTGATAGCTATTACTGTATTATTGGCAGAACTATAGTTGGCTAGATTGCAGTCACAGAGGAAAGAGGAAGGTAAAGAAAAATACTAAAAATGAATAAACACAGTAAATAAAAATTCTAAAATATATTTTTTATTTAATGAACCAGATTTGACTGTAGTAAAAATACACTGTAATGTGTGACCCTTCTCCTGAATTACCTTTTATTGTTCCGGAAATATTGACCTTTTGAGGCAAGTTTTTCCCATGGCTTCATAGAATACTATACTTCTTAAAACAATAACAACAGCAATGACAACAAAAAACAAATCACACTAGCTCTTACTGATTTGAAATACAATGGCTGTAGAAGTTACATTTTTAATTCCATTTCATTTCTTTATATCTTGGCAAAGTGCTTGCGTAAAAAGGACCTGACATTTTCACAAATTATCTCAGCACTTAAGAGCACATTTTTCTGACCCTGGTCTTCTATTCATATGTCTTAGGAAGGATGATCATAAATATATCTCCTTTCTCTGCACCCTGGATAGATCCATATGCATGATCATAGTGCCTACTGAGATCATGTTCTTGCTTAAAGAAATGAGATGCTCTCAAACTTAAAAACAAAGAGATAAACAAAAATAGAGTTAACATTTTTAGTCTTTCGCTACATCCTTTAATCTCAAAACCAAGGTTCATGAGGAGTTGCTAATCCTTTATTCACTTGTCTGACAACCAATATATATTGAGCAACTATGGTAGGTGAGCTGCTTTTCTAGTCCCTGAGTATACCTTTCCTGTTTGTACAGGGATCATAGTCTAATATGCACTATAGTCTAGTGCTTATTCATGCATGAAATTCAGTTAAATATTTTATATAGGACCTTATACCACCAAAGTCCTAAGATGGTACATGTTTGCTTCTTAAGGTAATGAAAAAGTAAGTGAATGAATTCTTGTCATTCACCTTTTTGTTCTGAGCTTCATCCTTTATAACTGGATCGAATCCAGCCCTCCCTTCTCCCTAGATTACTTTCTATTGTATCCACTTTTTTCTTTATACCATTTATTGTGGTCTGAAATTGTTTTGCTCATTTATTCTTCTACTTGTTTGTTGTCTGCCACTCCTAATTGACTATAAATCCAAGGACAAGGATGTCAGATGACTTTTATCTCTGTAGCCTAGTGCCCAGAACTATGTCTGCTGTGTAGTCACTGCTCAATACATGTTTGAATGAATGGATAAGGGAGTTGTTAGCTAAGTTGGCTCAATTCTATTGGTCTGAAACTTTGTGGTCCAATATGGTAGCCACACATGGTTATTAAGCACTTGAAAAGTGGCTAATTCAAATTGACATATACTATATGTGTAAAATACATATCAGATTTCAATGACCTAGTCCAGAAAGAGAAAGAGTACAAAAATATCATTAAATGTGTTTGTATCGATTCTAGGTTGAAATGGTGATATTTTGAATATATTATATTAAATGGAATATACTCTTAAATATTTTAAAAGTTAATTCCACCCGTTTCTTCTTACTTTCTTAAATGCAGTTAATAGAAAATTTAAAATGTTATATGTAGCTCACTTTGGTGGCTTATATTATGTTTCTATTGGATGGCAATAGTCTAGAATAATAGCCATGAAAGACAAATTCCAAGAAATACATAGATGTGGATGGGTCTGTTAATGCTAGGGCTCAGACGGAAGCAAGTCATGCTTGGGATAAATTCAGATTCTGGCTCCAGGCAACTTGGGAAGTGAACATATAAAATTAAAAGAGGTGAAGCCACTATTTCTAGAAGGGTGTCTAACAGAAACCAGATGCCACGCCCACTACTGAAAGTGAGGGAAGACGTGGCCTGGGGTTAAGGGCACTACACCACACCAGAACCCTTCTCTGAGCCACATTCCTCCCCTTGATGAGTGAGCCAAATGCTGTGAAGATGGTGGGCAGTGATTAATGGTGACGGCTTTACGAGCACAGTGGTGCACAGGGACACAGACAAGGAGCTCCCCAGCCTCTCAGGAGGGACTTTTAAAGGCCATTAAATCGACTCTGGGATATTTTATGTTTCACTCCAACAGTGCTGGCTTCAGATGGGCCAATTCAGAGAGACATCTGCGTACATGTGCATCAGCCTCGCTAGAATTACGATGGAAGGCCATGATCACAGGCCAGCTCTGCTTTGCTTTCCGTATGGGGCCGGGAGGGTTGCACAGGTGGTGACACTCGTCTTCAGTGGTTTTCCCAGTGGGGAGGAGCTGCTTTTTGTCTGGGTCTCCTGATCTCAATGTTTGTTTATTTATTTGTTTTCGTGAACATCTTGCTTCAGGTGTGTGAGTGCAAAGAAGGCCAAGGATGCTAGGCTTGCTATGGCTCTGAGATTTTTCTTGACCACTGCTTTTGAGACATTAGTGGGCACAGAATTCCTCAAGGGGGAGACTGCTGACAATGAGGCTATTCTGTCCTATCCTAGGTCTAGGTGGGGCTCGGGAATCTGTGTTTTTAAACTTGAGAGATTCTGATGTTGATGGTCTATGTCGTTGACACTGGTCCTAGATATTTGCCTCGTAATGCAGATGAGGAAATTGAGGTCCCCATAAGGAAACAATTTGTCTGAGTTTCCTTTCAATCCTTCTGGGGATGGCGCCATGATGTTTTTAATCACTGAGCCAAACTGTGGCTAGACTTTGATGAAATTGCCAAGCAAAAACATTTGGGGGGGGGGCCTGGTGCTTTGTGCCTTGACTGTCAACCCCACTCCTACCCCATGCTCAGTTGTTTTGCCAAAGTAGAAGTTCTTTGCATGGCCTTGCATTCCTCAAAGCATGTGAAATGGGATATTAACTGGCTCTCCTGGGAGACTGAGTTCAAGAGTAAAATTGGATTTCAAAATTACTAGGTTGCAACCTAAACAAGAATTTTATGTTTTTAGATATACTCTGTGTTTTTTTTTTTTTTTACATCAGATCTTACCAAAGTCTTTAATATACTAATGTCATATTCTTTATTTAATCACAGAAATCTCACGAAACTCTAGATGGGAAACAATAGAGACACCAGCATATTACATTTTGCAATATTTTAATATGAAATAGTTCCTACAATTACGACATGGTGAAGGAAGTGCTATTATATGACACCTCTCCCCCACCTAATGAATAAGAAAACTAAGAGGCAGTGATAAGTGAATTACTCAGAAGCACAGTACTTGAAATGATAAAGCCCTTTCTCAAGCTCAGCTCTTCAGCCACCAAATCTGAGGCTCTTTTCCACTACTCTGTGGATTGGGTGAATGGGAAATTAACTAAAGAGTCATTCAAGAAAGGGATACTTTCGATTTTTTGCCTTTCCCCAAATTACTTTGAGCTTTTTTTTTTTCCTAGAGCCAACTTGAAGCCTACAAACAAAAAGCATGACAGTTTTAGCACCTCAGATGGAGAATCTGTTAATAAATTGGTTTGCCACCTGCCTGCTCTCAACCTTTCACCACTGACTGTGGATCTTGTGTTCTCTCCATTGCTGATTAATATTTAACTTAAAAATAAAAAAGGCCATGGAAAATGCATGAGTGACTTTAAGGCTCACATGCTGGGGACCATTGTGACCCTCAAGAACAAGGTGAAATTAGGAAGGAAGAAGGACCCTTCTGAGCCCCAGGCCTCTTTATGCCTGTGAGGCTTTAAGGCTCCCTTTGTCTTCCAGTCCTGTCCTACTAGAGCCAGTTATCACCACAAAGGGAGTCAGAGATGTTTACCAATGTGTAGCACCAAGAATCAAACACAAGTCACTGAAAATACACTGACAAGTACCAGCTATTTTGCGATAATATGAAAAGGTCGAAGATCTCATCCCTTGGGCTCTAATCACAGTGGCCTGCACATTTCTGGAAGCCATGCCAAGCCGGAGCAGTGGAGTTCCCAATCATGTATCTTTTCTGTTTGCCTCAGGTGGGAGGGCCTGACTGTTGTGAATGCCATAACTCCGTAGTCTCTCTGAGCCTTGGTTCTGCTCTTCCCTTTAATAGCTTTCCATTTTTTAAATCCTTTTATTTGCTCCAAAAGGGCTGTGTGTCTCAAGCACATTTTAATACATCAAACAAATGAGTGGCGTCCTTGAACATGTGTACGTGCACATGCATGTGCGTGCATGTGTGTATGTCCTCATTAGGTACACTGATGGGGAGGAAAGGCACCCACTGTGTCCTCAGTGAGGCATTGTAAATGTGTGGTCTCACTAAATATACATGCTGCCACAAATGACAAACACAATCATTAACCATTCAAGGCCACAGACATCTTGGTATCCATCACTGAGGAAGTTTTTGCAGAAGACAGGGACAGAACTCACACCTGTAAAATGGGACTCAGGGACATTGCCAAACATATATATTGCACGATCATATTGTCCATCAATGCAAACCAACCAGTGCCTACAAGTACACAGTAGTGATCAATGGCACCATCTTTGCACACGTCCTGTGATGGAGAGCTCACTACCTCCCAAGAGTTCCCCTTCACCATTTTAAGGTTGAAATGTTTTCTTGTCATAATTTCCATTGGCCCTAAGTGGCTCTGTAGAGCTTCAAAGAACCAACCTGTTTGTTTTTCTTCCTAATGTTGTGTTGTATCTTTCCTCGGGTGTCTGCAGGAAAAAACAAAAAGCAAAACAAAACAAAACAAAAACAAAAACAAAAATACCCCAGACTTTTAGAAAATGGATAAAGAAAACTGCCCTTTTCTCTATAATATTCAGAGCTTATTGAGAAATAAGATTCAAGAAACACACCAATGAAGAGCAAACATTCCAGGTTTCCTACTGACAAAATACATGGAAGATAAAACAGGTGAGCAATCATCCAGGGCTTCCTTCACTTGGCCCCCTGGACCCCCATCTGGGCAGGGACTACCTCCATGAGCTTTTCCATGGAAGAATGGAGACGTGCAGGTCTTACTGACAGGCTGGCTCTAAAAGAGAACACCCAGAAGGGCCCAAGCAGCTCCCCCGGGTCCTTAAACTCAGCCAGTTAATGTCCGGCCTCTGGAGAAGGAGAATGAAAGCAGGGAGAAACAAATAGTCTCTTCCTCTTCTTGGGCAGTAAGATGGGAATTTCTTTCACTTAATGGACACTTGATTCGTGGGGAAAACATCATCCCTGTTCTCTCCCTGGCAACTTGACATCCCTACTTGGGCTGTCCTCATTCCTGGTTGACCCTCCCTGAAGTTTACATGCAGTTCAAATTTCCCTGTGACTTGTGAGCCCGACACTAGATAAAACTATGATGATGTCTGAGCAGGGAGGCGTTCAGCGGAGGAAACTGAAGTTCAGAGTGGTTAAGTAGCTCCCTTGAGATCACCCAGCTGGACATCAAAGCCATGCGCCCCACCCACGCGGGATTCTGAGCCACAGCACCCCCCTGCTGCCACGCTGGCTCCCCAGGTGAGGACCATCCACAGTGCAAGCTGTTGTTATAACATCATCTGTCCAGTGAAATAAATGATTCTGAGATCCTGGCGGCCTGAGCCAGCTGAAAACCGGCAGCTCCAGGAGGAGAGGGCATCTGACTTAGTCCAGTCCTCTAATCCACCTGCCTTCCACCTCCCCGCAGCGTGCAGAGCCGTCCTGTGTCCACATCTTCTCTGCAGTGGAGCAGACGCTGCACACAGAGCACAGCCCGCCGGGGAAGCAGAATGGAGGACTCTGTGTGTTTTTCTTTTTCTTTAAAGGAAGCTCGTGATCAAAGGGAAGCAAAAAGGAGAACAAAGGGATCAAGATGAGACAAAATGGATAAGGGGGGAAACGGTGTTGTAGCGTTGAGCCGAGGGCGAGGAAAAAGGGAAGGCCGAGGTAGCCAGCCTTTGTTATCCGTACCCCACGATGCACGCGTCCTTGGCGGGGGAGACGTCCACAGGAGTCCTGTTCAATTGGCCAGGTTTCGCAGTCAATTGGAAGCGTGGCACTAAACGTGATCTATTTTAAATGTATTGCAGTTGAATTATTTAATTTGAAATTTAGCTGGTGCCACAGGCACTGGAGCGGGAGCAAGAAGAATGAACAGAATCATTTCATTGGAAAACGGTTTAATTTTTAATTATGAGATGGAGCACTTTGGGAGAATGAGACAATTCGCCCATGAGAGCTTCGTCTCCTGGATTCATGAGGTATCATGATAGGCACTTACGGCTGTTTAATTATCTTGTCCCGGTGACTGTCCACTGACTGAGACCTGACAGGGATCAGAGGCACGAACAGCATAACTACGACAACAACGTCATAAATGCAACTCCAGTGTGTGTGGAGAAATGTGCACTGATTTTTCCTCATTGGTGCAGATGCCATAATATTGATAGGCAACCTAGAAGTCATTGTATGTTTTTGCACAAAGGGAAGTAATAATACAAAGGTCCCAGGGGTAATGGAAAGACACATGGGCTGGGAATGAAGAACGTGGGATTCCAGCTTTATTGATGCTAAATAACTATAGTTGTGTCACTTTGGGTGAGTCAACCTATCTCCTTAGGCTTCAGATTCCTTAATATATAATAAGGCTATTTGGGTCTGGTGAGCTTTGTGCTCCCTTCCAGCTTTAAAATGTGCCTTTCCGGATTGGACCCTTAACCAGATTTTCCCATTAAGTAAACTGGTCTCTGTAAACAAGGCTCTTTGGTAAGAGCCTCCCATAAATGTGTAATTCTACTAAATATTATTCTATTAATGTATCATTCAATGGCTATGCATTGAGCAGCATTGCATGGTGGTCCATTAAGGTCACTCGGAGACAGACAGACATGGATTTTAATTCAAGCTATGTTAATTCCCAGCCTTCTAGCCCTGGGCAGGTTAATTGATTTCTCTGAGCCATGTCTTTCTAAAATGGGGAAAATGGCATTACTTACTTCAAGGTTTGTCGTGAAAATTAAATGAAGTGATCCATGTAAAGTGCTTGAAAGTGCTGTTGTAAGGTGGGAACTCAATAAATATTAGTTCCCATCATCATCTTCATCACCATCATCATCACTATCATGATAGACTCTCTCACAGACATTGGGAACATAGAGCTGAATAAGGTATAGTTCCTATTATCAAGGGGACATTAATATTTTAAGGAAAAGAGGCAAACACAAACTGTAAGTATTATCATTTAAAGTGGAACAAACAACTCTGAGACTACAGAAGGAGAAACCAAGGCTCATAGAGATGACATGATTTACCCACGGACACCCAATGTGATGTCTACAGTACTGGGATCAGAAACCCAGTGTTCTCTCTTCTGTGTCATAAAAAAAAAATCTTTACAAGAGGGAATTCCAGGAAACTAAATGAAATTCACATCCTGAGTCTAACCTCTGCAAACCATCCTGTTTTTTCTATTCCCCCATACCTCAGGGATTCTATTCATAACTCAATTGGAAATTGATAACAAATGGTGCAAAATAAGATATATCTACATACAAATGTGTATTCTCATGTGAAAGTCAGAGCACAGATGTGCAGAAATATGTGCATCTTTAAGCACATGTAGCCACATATAGAGATACACATTCAATCCCTATGTGCACACATGAACATACACAAACCCACATGCACATCCATATATGGCCATGCATGTATTTATACACTGGAATGCATGTTTCCAAACACAAATCTGCACTGATGCATACTCACAGAGGGTATTTTGACAGCACTGTGAACAGCTCCAGCAGCAAATACTATGAAAGATGTTATAATTTAATCCAACAATTGTCACTAAACTTCAGTTCTGTTTCAGGAAGAGCTCAGATCTCCAAATGCACTGGGGCCATATCTCTTAATCTTCTTTAGTCAGTTAAAACAATGCTTTAAAACATCAGTTTTCTACATTATCTATGCAATCTAAAATATGGAGCGTGAATTCAATTCCAGGTGAATCAGAGAATTCTAAATCAAGAACAGGACTGAACAATGGTTCTCAAACTTCAGAGACATAACAATTCTAGGGGCATGTGTAAGATGCCAATCATTAGTCCTCAGACCCATATACTTTGATTAGTCTCTGGTGGAGCCCAGGATTCTTCATTTAACAAGCCTCATCCGTGATTTAGATGTTGGTGGTTCATGGAATACCTTTTAGGAAGCACTAAATTAGAGATTATCAAAATCTCCTAATTTTGCAAAGAGTCAGCAGAGGTCCAAAATGGTGAAGCGACACATTCTAATGTTATGCTGTTGTTAGTGGCATAATTTGGTTTGAACAGAATTTTAAGCTTCTCAAGGTAATTTCATTCTCCCACCTTCCCCTCTCTCTCTAGTATTTGAATGCACATGATGAATGAAATGATGAGGCTAAATGGGAGAAAATCTGTCAGAAAAAATGCTCAATGTCACTAATCATCAAGGAAATGCAAATTAAAACCACCATGAGAAACCTTACCCCAGTTAGGTATATATATGGCTTTTATTAAAAAGTCCAAAAACCATAGATGCTGGCATGGATGCAGAGAGAAAGAACTGCTTATACACCGTTGAGAGGGCTGCAAACTAGTACAACCCCTGTGGAAAACACTATGGC